AGTGGATATTCTTCTTTGAGACTATGCCAAAATGCAACAGTTGGTAGTTTCTTAAAGATTAATTGCAACATGGGATCTGAAACTGTATCAGTGAACATTTTGTTCTATCTTATGTTTCTTAGTCCCATTTAGCTCAGCTTTGTAATTACATATTTATTTCAATATTTGCTTCTTATTATGTCTGCCTCTCCCACTACATGCATCCATTATATGTTAACATAAATGTCATTTTATGAAAATAACTATTTTCCCCAAAAACAATTTATTGAAAAGAGTAGTATTGTTTAAAAAGTTTTGCAAAGGGGCCGGCCTGTGGCTCACTCGGTAGAGTGCGGTGCTGATAGCACCAAGGCCGCGGGTTCGGATCCCATATAGGGATGGCCGGTTTGCTCACTGGCTGAGCGTGGTGCTGACAGCACCAAGCCAAGGGTTGAGATCCCCTTACCGGTCATCTTTTAAAAAAAAAAAAAAAAAAAAAAAAAAGTTTTGCAAAGATTTTTAATGTCTGGCTTTATAGAAGGCTGGACTTAGTAGTTCTACATTCAGTCTGTTGCAAATTCGTTTTCATTGAAGTGTATGAAGAAAATCTAGTCTTCCACAGATATATAGTAGGAAAATGGAGGGATATTTTAATAGCCTTTTCAGATAATAGTGGATATTCTTCTTTGACACTATGCCAAAATGCAACAGTTGGTAGTTTCTTAAAGATTAATTGCAACATGGGATCTGAAACTGTATCAGTGAACATTTTGTTCTATCTTATGATGAAATCCATTGGTCTGTCTTGCACTTTTGAATGGATATTTTAATATTTGGAGTATAATTATTAAAGAGGTTACAAAAGCAATGTGGTTAAACCTTTTTCTTTTCCATTCAGAAAATTCCCAAGATCCCTTGGGGATTAAGAGGTGGTTTTGGATATTGTTCATGATGTGAAAGGAGGGTCTGAGATGCACACACATGCTGTTCCACAATTTGTCACTTGGTTTTGATAGAGTTTCCATCTAATAAAGATACCCTGCACAATCTTGGTGTGTGGAATATCTCTGGCTCTTGTCTTGTGTGTTTAACTTCTCTTTTAAAACAAAATCATAGTAAATCATCAGGCTTGTTTTAACTGTCTTCTTTTTTTTCTTAGTTAATGTGATACATCCATATACTGAAATTCGGTTGTTAGCATTGTTGCCAGGTTGATTGAAAAATACAAAGAGTATTAACTTCTCAGCTTCAGGGCACAAGATAATTGAAGGAAGAAAGTTAGAAAAAGATCCTTGTCTTGTACAATGTGGCATAACACTCCATGATTGGCTAGGAGCATTAATGTTAATTTTTATGTTTTATGTGGAACCAGCAGCAAAACATTACGTGACTTAAAAATATAGCCAGAGTCATAAGCAGTGTTGCATTATTCTCTTGCTTTTGTGGTATTAATCCTGTGAGATTAAGCCATTAAATGTTGCTGTCTTCTCATATGTTGGACTGCACAGCCCAAGAGCCCAAGAATAGTAAATATGCGTAGTGGAAAAAACAGACCAGGATGTTGACAGTAGTTACCAGCAGTGATGGGATAATGGGTTGTTTTTGGTTTCTTTCTTGTCCTTTGTAAACATTAATTACAACAAATGTTTATTGAATATTATGTGTCAAACACTGTGTTGAGCTCTGGGCTTAGAGCAGGGAATAAGAAGCTGATTCAGTCCCTGCTCAAAAGGACCTTCCAGTAGGTCAATTGTCATATTTCCCACAATAAATGTGAAATATTTATATAGTAAGATAAATATAGTAAACATTACAAGCCAAAATTAATTGGAAAAGAAAGATTGGCGGGGTTTTTTTTGATGATTGCTTTGTTTTTGGTTCATTTTCCTCTAAGTACAACTTGAAGACTGTTTCGTGTTTCAGTTCTCCTAAATATTGCCCAGGAAATCTCTACAATGGACTCGACTCCAAATGAATTGAAGGCTTAATTTGAGAAAGAGGAAGTAGTGGTCATTTTTCTGGGCTGTGTTTCCAGTGGCTTTTGAGCTGTGATAAAATTCCATCCATGGGATGTAAATCATAAGTAGGAACCAAGAAAGGAGTGGGGTAGCACCTGCACAGACCTTCCACTTTTTTGCTGCTAGTTAGAGTTTGTGGCTCACCTAGGAGGCAGATCAAAGTGCATGACAATAGAGCTTGAAAATTGGCTTGTGTTCATGGCCTGAATAACTGGGACTTTGGAAAGTGCACGTCTTCAGGAAACATCTGGAAATAAATTTGAAACTTGATGGTGAAAGAAAACTCTTTTCCAAAAAGACTCTTATTTTTCTTATGTGGATATTTCGTAGCTACTGAAAGATGATGGAATTTTTATGGGATTAGGGTTTAGGTTTGATCCTGGATAGGAAACTAGAAAAAAGGGGGCTGGTATCACAGGCATTTCTTTGAGTGAATCATTGTTAGAGCCAGTCTAATTCTGTTTTTGTGAATATATACTTTCCAAGGTTTTGTAGAGATTTGTGACTCTGTAGAAAGTGTCAGAAAAGTTGCAGTATGGCCAAGTGTGACAATATAGTTATGAGAGAAAAATCATGACAAATTGTAAAAGTGACTAATAGTACAGGATAAAGAAGTGGGAAACCACTACCAGCTACTGAGCAAAGATCCTATGTGAAACTGTGACCTCCTGAGCCAGACTTCCCTGAAGTTCTCCTCTCAAGAAGTTCTGGAGTTTAGTGGAAAATAAAGATCAAGTAGAGGTTGAGAAGGTGTGGAGAAGATAATGAATTTAATTATCTGTCTAGAACAACTGAATGAGGTCAGATATGTAAGAATTAGGGTTTATTAACCTAAATTGAAAGAGGCTTGAAGGGACAATGATCAAAGTCTTTAGAATCTTGACTTTGCATAAGTTGAACATGACCAGAAAAATGAAGGGCCACTCCTCAAAGGTTGAGAGTTTGAAGACACATAAATACTATATCCAAGAGGTAGTGAATTGATAGAATTCATTGGCGCTGTTTGGGATGGCAGAACATACAAAGGGGATGACCAAAAGGACATTCGTGATTTTTTACTAAGTGAAGACAGTAAAGTGAAGAGAACCGTGATAATATGCACCCGTTGGTAGTGCTGATTACCTGGTGGTTTGCCAGGAAACGAGGAGAGAGTAGAATTGGGAGCAGAAGGGAAGGGAAGGAAAAGGACAAAGACTCTGTGTGTGTGTGTGTGTGTGTGTGTGTGTGTGTATTCATAAAGAGATGCTCATAAGGATGGCTACTAAAATGTTAATGGTGGTGGTCTCAAGATAATGGAGTTTCAGGTGATGTTTCCTTCTTTATATTTTTATTTTTATTTTATTTATTTGTTTATTTATTTATTTATTTATTTTAACTTCTCAATATACATTGTAGTCGATTGTAGTCGATTTTCATGACCCTTTACCTGGCTTGCTCTTCCCAGATATCCGCCTGGCTTATTCCTCAGGCTTCCTGCAGGTCTCTGTTCACATGTTACTCCATCCAAAAGGCTGTCCCTGACTTTGCTTTCTAAGGTATTATGCACTCCTCCCTTTCTTTGTCACTCTGTCCCCTTGCACCCAGTTTCAATTTTCTTAGCACTTATTACCACCTGACATATGTATTTACTTGTGTATTTCATAGTGACCACCTCTCTCTTCCCCCCTCTGTCTCTCCCCTCCCCCCCACATCATATCTGTTCACTTGTCTTAAAAATTTCAAGGAATTGTTGTGTCTTCTTTATATTTTTAATGTTTGAATTTTTAAAAAAAGAGCTTGTATTGTTTTTTTAACCAGGAAAATGTTATTTTCATTCTTTCATTAAGCATATAAAGAAAACAAAATGGTAATAAAGTTATTAGAGATTTTATGGATTTGTGAATCTATAACGAGTTATGTAGTAAAAGTACTCATATTGTTTGAAGTATTTGGCTCAGCTTTTTATGGGAGAGCAACCTGTCATTTACTCTCCTGTGTCAGGGCTAGAATGGTTTTCCCAATGAGCCTTGGGTTGACCTCAAGGTAGCTGTTTAGGCTGTTTCATTCTTAGTTCAGAGATACTATTGGGCAAGGTGACTCACCTTATGTACTGCTTTGGTGCTCAGCCTGGCCTCTGGCCTACATACCTTTCTTCTCTGTAGACTTTTCTCTCCAACAGACAGACTTTTAAAAATCCTTTTTAATATATTTATTAAGAATATTCATGAGATACAAAGTTAATTGTCACCCCTCGTGCCCATGATGTGAGGGCCAGGTTCATACTGGGGGCATACCATTACCAGAAAGGAAGGAAGGAAAGACCACAGTAGTGCTGTGGTCTTACAGTGGAAGGGAACATTCCTAGGGCTACAAAGCAGAGTGCGGGGGGGGAGGGAGGGGGAGAGAGACTGGGGGATAATTGGATGGAGACATGGGGTACAGACTTTTAAAAATCTAAGTTAGAACTTGTCTTAAAGCATGCAGTGGTATTCCATCTCATTTATAAAAATATCTGGAATCCTTGCAGTGACCTCTGAGGCCCTACCTGGCTCCCTCTTCCATGCAGACCTCCTTGTTGTACCTCAGACCCATCTGCATATCCCTAGTTTATCTGGCTTTCTCTTCCCAGATATCTGCATGGCTTATTCCTCAGGCTTCCTGCAGGTCTCTGTTCACATGTTACCCCATCCAAAAGGCTATCCCTGACTTTGCTTTTCAAGGTGTTATCCACTCCTTCCCTTTCTTTGTCACTCTGTCCCCTTGCACCCAGTTTCAATTTTCTTAGCACTTATTACCGCCTGACATATGTATTTACTTGTGTATTTCATAGTGACCACCTCTCTCTACTAAAATGTAGTCTCTAAATGGAATCACTAAGGTGTAATTTTATCTCTTTCACCATTGCCATGGCGGTACTGCCTAGGATGGTAAGTGACACATAGTTGGCACCCAAGAAATATGCATCGAATGAATTAATTCCTGTCTCATTTCTTCATTGTGCGCTCTGACGTTTTTGCCTTGCAGAGAAGTTGTTACATTCAACCATTTCCTGGAAGCAGCAGCTGAGAAGGAAGTTCAAGGGAAAGCTCGGCTCCAGGACTTTATTGAGAATCTGTTGCAACGGGTAGAACTGGCGGAAAAGCAGTTAGAGTACTATCAACGCCAGCAGGTTTCCCGTTTCTGCCATGACATCAGTGAGCACGTGGTGAGTCATGCTGGTCCATGCACCAGGTGGGAGGTCCCTGTGTATGGTGCAAATGGGTCGAGGACAGAGGAAGGGGAGCTGGGTGACTTGCAGGGACCCTCTAGACATCATTTGAAAGCCCTGCCAGGGCCATGCCTATGTTGTGGAAGCAACGCTGGTGAATCCAAGAAGCACCTGCAAGTCAGCTCAATCCTGGATGCAGAGTTTCCAGTTCTTCTTCACCCTCCTACTCCATGCCATGCTCAATTGGTAGAAATATTTTTATATTTGTAACATAATAGAGTTTGAAGTATCCAAAGAAATTATTCATTCCTACCTTGGTGTTCAAGTAGATTGGAAGTTATTATCGTGTTTCAGAGGTCTTCAAGGGAATCTTATGAAAGCTTTGGCTCTTCTCAGTAAAGCAAGATCCAGCCACCATTTTTTCCTTAATAGGGAGGAAAACACCATTCAGCAGTCTCTATAAGTTAAACATCTTTAAGTAGATTTTCAAAAAGACCGAAAAATTCACAGGTGATAGTTCTGTAATAGATTTCTGCATACAATTTCGCATATTTTTTCAGGGGCTTAAGAAACCCACAGAATCCAGATGAGAGCCCTAGATGTGGATAGAGATCCACATTCTCATAGGTGGCTTGATCAAGACTCCCTAGTCTTTTTGGAGGACAGGGGACAGTACAAATGGTCATGCTCTAGGTGAGGGGATGAGTTGTCACCTCTGCCCTGTATAGTTTCCTTGGTGGTATAAACAACAAAACGAAAGAATTTTTGATACACCAAAGTGATTTATTTATAACATTTTCATTACTCGTTGAACTTTATTTATGCTTACCTCCTTCACAGAAGATTTAAAAATGATTCTTTACTTCTCAAATGGACTGTACCATAAAGAAAAGAAAAATAGGAAACATTTATGCTAACCAAAAAATTAGCAAGGTTACTATTGGTTGATTAAAAAGTTTAGTTAGAACTTGCTGGAAGCCAAGATGAAAATGAAACATGATTAAATAATAAGACCAATTATCCAAAAGAAGTAATGAGGTGAAAGTTAGGTGAATAAAGATGGAGGTCAGGGGCTGGCCCGTGGCTCACTCGGTAGAGTGCGGTGCTGATAACACCAAGGCCCCGGGTTCGGATCCCACATAGGGATGACCGGTTCGCTCACTGGGTGAGCGTGGTGCTGACAACACCAAGTCAAGGGTTAAGATCCCCTTACCGGTCATCTTTTAAAAAAAAAAAAAAAAAGATGGAGGTCAGGGGAGGGAGAGAGACATCAGGGAGGAAAGGAGAGAGGGAGGAAGGGAAGAAATGAAGAAATCTTACATGGTGCTTACTGTAATGATGTACACCCAGCCTTAGAGCAGTACAGTGATGCAAGCCCCAGAACTTTCCAGAACAAAAGCAGACTGGAAGGAAGGAAATTTTTATATCTGTGAGGTTTCAGCCACTGTATTCAAAGCAGTCTCATCTGTATGACATATTTATTATTTTCTGGGTGGTGTCTGTGGTCTTCTGCATGTAACACTCCTGCAGGGAACCATCGCGCCCTGACTTGATCCGTGTCTCCTCCTTGGGAAATTGTGCTAGTGTCTGGTCTAGACTAACTGTAGCTGGAGGGACACTGTCTGGTCTCCTTCCTGCCTTCTTCCTTCTGGCCTTCTCTCAAGAGAGGGTTGTGGCAGGAGGCCATGGAGCCCAGATGTGAGGTGAAAAGGCTTAGCTTCTGGAACATTCTTACCCTACTCTGCCTGGGAAAGACAGTTTGTCTTCCTGGGCCTATTATTGTTCTGTAAAACGAAGGGGTTGAATTCAGTGCTCTCTAAGGTCTTTTGGCCTCTTAAGTTAATTGATCATCCGCTAAAAGTTAAGATGTAGCATTAAAATTTTCAGTATTTAGGCTTATAATTCACCCATAGCTAAGAGAAGTGTGAAATCCTCCTGTACTAAGCTAGGAAGAATCTTCTTTTTTTTTTTTTATTGAATCAAATTGATTATACATATTTTTGGGATTCAATGTTGATATATGTTGATCAAATCAATAGTATTAGTATGTATATTGTTACAAATCATACTTATTCTTTATGCCCCTTGTCCAATCTCTCCCATCCCCCTTCCCTCCCACCTCCCACCACTGATAACCCTAGATTTCTTCTCTCCTTCTGAAAGAGTAATGGTTACTCTGTTGATTTGTTGCCTAGATGATCTGTCCAATGCTGAGAGGTGTGTTCAGGTCCCCCAGTATAATCATAGAGCAGGTGCTGCTTCTATCACTCCGAAATAGGCTTTGTGGAGAGAGACATCCTCTTCTTTTCTTTGGTCTCTATTGGTGACTCTCCTTGTGTCATTGCACTCCAGTGGCTGGCGGACCATCTGCGTGGTGGCTGTGACATCTAGCCACTTTCGCAGCAGCTGTGATTACAGTGGTGGCTGTGGGGGGCCACCCACATGGAGGTGATGTTTTTAGCATGCTACTCGGCACTGGCAGTGTACCTGGTTGTGGTGAGGGATCTGGTCCCCAGCTCCAAGCCCTGGGCCCCCAAGGTGCTGGCCATATGCCTGGGAGTGGGCAGGGTGGGCGGGGTGTCTGGTCCCAGCTTGATGTCCCGGGTCCCTGGGTGGGGCTCTGAGGTGCTGTCTGTGTGCCTGGGTCTAGGAGAGGGTTCTGATCCCCACTCCATGCCCCTGGTCCCCTGGTGGGCCCGAGGCGCTGGTGATGTGCTTGGGCCAGAACAAATTTTTTGTCCTTTGCTTCTAAAAGAGGGAACTTCCTGTGGGAACCAGTACTTGAGCTGTGTGGTTGAGCTAAATTGCTGCTTTGCTGCTGTTTCCCTAGGGAAGACTTTTTGTGCAGCTCAGGATTTAATGGCTGACCTTATAGGTACTTCCGGTCCCTGGGTTGTGTAGAAACTCTGATCTGGGCCTGAATCTTTTCATCAAACTGCACCCCATGTAATTCTGCATTCCTGACCAGTCTCCTCTGAGTGGTCCTGTGCTAATTGGAGAAAAGATCGGCTGTCCTGTTGTGCCCCAGCATTCTCTCAGTGGGCCCGTCTCCCCCACCGCCCATGGTCCAAACACCACCCCATGGGATGGGCTCTGCGCCAGTCCCTTGCAGTGACTCACCAGCCTCTGAGTTGCTCCCCTTTTTCACCTTTCTGGTTCCTCACTCCTGCGTGGGTCCACGGGAACGCTATTAGTGGTCTTGCTGTTCTGGGGGCCACCAAGGCCCTCTTCTCTCCTGCTGCCTCCAAGTAATCCATCCAAAGAGCACAGCTGTGGCTTCTGCCGGTTCCTGCTCCAGGTGCTCAGCAGCTCCAGCATAAAAGCAGCCACAGCCGGATGCTCCGAGCAGTTTTTTCTTTCTCTTATTGAGGCTTCTCCCCCTTCGTGAACTCCGTAGGTCTCTCCTCCTCTTCCCCTGAGCTCCAGCAGCCCTGGCTTGGCTGTTGTTACATTTTTATAGTTGTAAATTGGTTGATTTGTGGGAGAGAGTGATGCTGGGGATGGTCTTTTCCGCCATCTTGACTGGAACCTAAGAGGAATCTTAAAGAGAGAAAACAGTGGACAGCAAGAAGAAAGAAAGGAAGCCCATTAGTTCCCTCTTTTTAAAAATATTTCTTTGCTCATTTCCTCTGCTCAGTTTACTTTTCCTGCTTGAAACTTGAATACCAAGAGATTTAGCCAGCCATTATTTTTCATTAAACTATGTTATGTAATCAAAAGTTGAGTAGCATCTCAGCTCTTCTTGTGAGATATGTATATACAAAACTATGTGTGTACACACAACATATATATACATATGCATGCATATATACACGTAAATACATATACACATATACATAATATATATACATGCACATACAAATGTGGTGGGAAATTAGCAAATATTTATATTTATACTTCTGTGTCCCAACCATGACATAATCTGCCTTTAACAGCTTTGCTCTACCTAAGGAAGAATTGACTAATTCAAATAAAACAAAGTACAGTTAAGATTGTTGCAAGGAATTTAGAAGCAAGAGCTGTGCACCAGCCATAGTGAGGGAAACTGTCTGATGGTTGGAGGGAGGATACGTCACCCTGGAGGACCAAGAATGAGGTGTGTGATTTCTGAGATAATTGGGCAGACACCTAGTTTCCTCTCATTTCCATATGTAGTCCTCTAAACTCTACTTTGGACCATAATGTGCTACATTATGAGGCAGTCTACAGACCCTGCAGGCCGTTTCTCCTTTTTACTTAGTCTATTCCGTTGTTACAGTATATGCCAACCTATAAAATGAGGAGCCATGTCTTCGATGTAATCAGAGTGCTAAGTCTGACCTCCTTGGATATCTGTGGCTACAGATACACAGTAGAACTTGGATGCTTTTAACATGGAGAGCTTTGAATCATATCTCTGATAATCTATTTGGCCCAGCCTAGTGAAGGTGTAGAGCACCCAGAAACCCAGGCATCTGGAGCCTCAGCCCCACCAAGGATAGCTTCTTGCCCCCGTATACCCCAGGTGAGCAGAACGTTCTGACCCGACTCCCCCTGTCCCCCTCCCCGCTTGCACACCTGAGCTTCTTCCTCCAGAACAGTCAGGAACACTACCCGAGTCACCCTCTCACCATCTCCACAGAGGCTGCACTGCAGGAACAGAGTTGATCCTCTTCCCCTTTCTGTTGTCTACCTCAGTCCCCTCCCCGCCTCCGTCTATCTCATTGCCACCTCCAGAAATTCCAGTGAAATTCCCAGATTGATATGTAAGTTGCTTCTTTCTAAGGTGACTCTAGCCTTAAGGTTCTTCTGTGCTATGGAAAAATGTCCTTCCCCTCACATTTAGTGCCTTTTCTGAAATACTATTTTGGCATCTGTAGCTTTCCCTTAATCCCCTTGAGCATCTATGTTCTTATTCACCTGGATGATTTCTAAAAATATAATCTGCTTACTCAGAAATTTTATCTTTATGCTCTGAAAAATGCTGCCGAATTAGACACAAAGTGACCTAATATCCCATCTGCCCAAATCACTCACAGAACTGCTCCAATGGAAGGTCACAAAACAGCTTGGATAATCATATTTTAAATGTTGCATTTATTGCCTGCAGGTTGCTAAATTAGCACTAGCAGTAATTCATGTAGCACATATTTACTGGGGGCACAGTGCTTGCTGGGTGCTGAAGAAACTGCTGTGAGCGAGATAGGTGAGGTCCCTGCCCTCAGTGAGGAGGGGGACGTGATAAATGAGGAAGCAAATAAAGATAATTTCCCATAGTGATAACTGCTATAAAGAGAAGACGTAAGATGATATGTTTGAGATGCCCAGGGTGGGGACTCTTAGATTTAGTGGTTAGGACAAGCCTTGCTAAGGAGGCAACATTTGCATCATGACCTGAATCACAAGGAAGAAGCAGCTCTGTGGAAACTTGGAAGTGAAATGTTCTAGGCAAGGAATAGGCAGTGCACCTGCCTCAGGAGGGAACAGGCTTGGCATGGTCGAGTGGTAAGAGGTGAAGTCAGAGAGTTGGGAAGAATCCAGATCATGCTGGGCCTCACAGGTTATATAAGGAGTTTGGATCGATTTCAAGGCTCACAGGGAAGCTATTAGAAGGTTTTAAGCAGGAGTTGATCTATGTTTTAGCAAAATCACTCTGGCTGCTCTGTGGGGAATGGACTGGAGGGCTGCAAGAATGAGAGAGGGGTTAGGAGGTTATTATTGTAAGAGGCGAGAGGGGACAGCAACTGGGAAACAGTAGAAGAAGTAGAGAGACGTGATGGGCAGAGGGTGTATTCTGGGGGTGGAATTGACATGACGAGTAGACCTTGCTGAAGGACTAGATTTAGTTGGTGAGGGAAAGAGAGGCATCAAAAATGGATCTAAGGTTTGAGCCTGCACAGCTTGGTGTCTGGTGCTGCTGTTCACTCAGAGGGGAAGTCGGAGGACGGCCACATGTCCCGTTCCCCCAAGCCTGTGGTCACCTGAAAAACCATGTTTGTATTTTAGAAATATTAGGTTGGCTGTCAATATATTATTTATATTTTTCCAATCTTTATCAAGAATTCTCTTGATCACTCTCTTAACATCCTTCTCTCCCTAAATAGAAAAAAGACAAAGTAGTTGGACCAGGAGAAAATGGAGGTGGGTAGACAAGGCTTAGTGGGCAGAGCTTTTCCACCTGCCTGCAGCTGTGGGGGCCAGGAGCGACAGTGGCCTCTTGTGCTCACAGCGAGAAGAGCACAGCAACGTCTGCGGTGGTTGTGAAAACAGGCCCTGGCTCCACCCCACACCTCATAAGTCAGTTATCATCGGGGACATTCTAATCCAGTCATTGATTCCACTGAATTACTGTGTGCACATTTACATACACAAACACATACTTTTGGGCCGGCCCGTGGCTCACTCGGTAGAGTGCGGTGCTGATAACACCAAGGCCGCGGGTTCGGATCCTATATAGGGATGGCCGGTTTGCTCACTGGCTGAGCGTGGTGCTGACAACACCAGGCCAAGGGTTGAGATCCCCTTACCGGTCATCTTTTTAAAAAAAAAAAAAAAACACATACTTTTTCGGGAGACTGTACAGAGTGAGGGCTTGCTCAGGCTGGAGTCGGCTAACTTGGATTTGAAGCCCAGCCCTAATGAAAACATTGAGGCTGTGAGCTAGTTACTTAATTTTGCTGTGTTAGTTTCCATGTCTGTAAAATGGGAATGATGATGCTTACCTCATAGGGTTATTCTGAGGGTTAGTTGTGCTTGGTACGGTCAGTATTTAACCCAGTGTGTGATATGTAGACATGCACTGTTGGTGGTACCTGTATACATGTGAGGTTCATGGCCTATCTGTCTTTATTCATGCAATTCACTTTCTGTAGACACAGTGAATTCGTCTCATTTTGTGAGGTCCCAGCAGGGTCTGTTAGTGACATTCATAGGGGCTGAGGTTGTAGTTCTTAAAACATTCTGAGCATTTGATAACACTTTTGGCCTTTCCCTAGGGAGGGAAGCATATGAGGGTACTTCAAAAAGTTCATGCAGTTCATGTGAATTTAGTTTCTCTAAAATACAAGAAAAATTTTAAAAACAAGTCCAATCTTCAAGTGAAATAATGTTTTTTTCTTATTTGTTTTCCTTCAGCTTACAGATATCTCCACAAATAGGAAACCCAAATGCCTGTATGTATATCTTTTTGTACTTGGGCCATTTGATAATGTTTTCATAGTGTGTTTTCCTATGTATGCTATAAATGGATTTGAAAAGCTTAAGCGAAAATTTAGCTGCAGGTGTATATAACTTTGTAAAAGATGATGAGACTTTCAACCCGCTAATAGTCTGTTCGTCTGTGGCACTATGATAGCACATGAGGAATATTTTTGCAGTAGTGTGTAGTGTAACTTTCTCTTATTGACGTGTGGTGTGGTCATAATAACTCTATAGTACCATTTGAAAATTTATGCTATAATCATATACTTTATAATATCTGCACAACAGATTTGTCTGAGTCCCCCTAGTAGTCACTTAAAGAGTCAAGAGACAGGGCTTGTGGTCCCATCTTCTCCGTTAGCCAACTGTCTGTATTATTCTGAGTAGTCATTTAAATTTTCTGTACCTCAGTTTTATCACGGGTAGACAGGACTAGTAATATATCCCTGGGAATTTAGTATCATGTGATCATTTCATGGAGGCCACCGGCATTTTTGGAAGAAAAATACCAAAATATATATTATTTGTCTTGATGTAGCATTATCACCACTGCAACATGCAGGAGTGACTGTGCCATGAATAGTTATTATACTTTAAGGTTTTAAAGAAATCTTTTCTTTCTGCTCACCTCCCCTTCAACCCTACCCAACCATCTGCAGAGGCCGAGGGCACCCACATTCCGTGTGTAACCACCCTGATCTCAAGACCCATTTCCATCCAAAGGGAAGGAGCTACCTGAAAAAAGCCAAGGATGACAGAGCCAGCATGCAGCCTGCCAAGTCCATTCTCGAACAGGCCGAGTCATCAAGAGATCTCTGCAGACCGCCCAAGAAAGGGGAGGTCCTGGGGTTTAGTCGGAAAGGCAACCTCAGGCCCAGAATGGCTAAAAAAAAGCCAACAGCGATCGTGAACATCATCTAAGCTGGTGGGTGGCTCTGGACCATCATCACTGGGCTTTGGGGAACGTTGTTCCAGGAGCCAACAATAATGTCCTTTTGGACACATCCAGTAGTAAGACACATTGGAAAAGCAAAGAGTGTAACATATACATACAAGCACCTCGATTAACCAGAATTTACCAAACAGGAATCTCAGCAAACCAGAATTTTATTATAACCCCCCTTTAGAAGCAAGAGGCACATTACAGACAGAATAAAATTATTAAAGCAATCTTATCCCAAAGTTTTAGTAAAACAAACTCCAGTTTCTAAAATAATTGGCCCAGGCACCAGTAGTTTTGGCATCTGTGCTTGTGTCATGGTCGTTAATTCTCAGAGTCAAGGCCACACAAGATGTCAGGCACTGAGAAGAAATTCATCTGTGCCCACAGCTGTCTGAATTGTGTGGCAAGGAATGGGAGTGTAATATTCTATTAGTGGCAGTGATGTACACATATTTTTGTTTGTTTTTAACCTTTCTCTCATTTAGTTTGAAAGCCTCCAAAATAAGGATTCCCATCTCCTCGAGTATTCTGGTTAGTCAAGATTTCAGTGTTTGGGTTGCTTAAGGTACTTGTTCAGTCAGACATCAGTTCTCATTTCGACAGACTGTTTTTGGTTTGTTTGTTGGATTTAGGATTTTGTTTCCCTTGATGCATGTTTATTCCAATTGTGGGATTCCTCTGCTGTCTTCTTTGGCTGAGCATTCAGCACCCGCAGACCAGGCTGCCAGCCTCTGTCTCAATAGCTGCTTTTGTTGCTGTGGTCGGGGAGGACGGGTACACCCTTTGGGTCCTCACCCTTTTGGTCATTGGTGCAGTGCGTGAGTAGTTGGAGTACCAGTGGTTTGCCTATTTAGTGCGTTGTGGCCATCCTGGGAGCACTGCAGTTGTCACCACCCCTTCCAGAGACCCACTTCCCTGGTGGTGTCAGCAGCCCCCTCTGTTAGCCGTGGGTGTGACTTTTTCTTCGCTGGCTTCACTTTTCCACCCAGCAGCTCACTTTGCCTCCTGCTGCTTCTATGTCCTCTAATGACAAAAACACACATTCTTAACTTTCAACCACATACCTGGAGTGTTCACTATAGTTTGCATTCTAAATAATTTCTGAAGTAAACAGTGCATGTAGGATCCAGAATCTGACACTGTCCTCTCCTCCCTTCTTCCATAAAATGGCTTGTTTCCACAAAGAACTATCTTTTAAGAACCTCCTGATTTGTGATTTTTTTCAAAAATGAATTTCATGTTGTTTTTTTCCCTCAAATTTAGCAATATCATCAAATCTCATGCAGATTTTACAAGTGCTGACATCTTTGTGGAAACAAGAATAATTTTGTGCACAAAAATGTACATATATATATATAACACAAAAATATATATGTCAATTATATTAATAATTTATTTTTAAATACTCATAGAGCAAGTGTGTGTATGCAGTGGGTGGTTTTTAAACTATATATGTTTGTTCATGTAAATTGAATTCTCTTTAAAAATTAAAACTGTAACCTAATTAACATTAGTGGAATTATTGTTATTGCAATAAGCATCAGATTAGCAGTGCTTTAAACATAGGTCATAAAGCAGTTACTTAAAATACCAGTAAATTTAAAAGTGTAATTTATCATTATGTAAACATTTTGAACCTATGATAGTGCAAATGTTGATTTTTTAATATTCACTTTGATGTTTGGCTTATGGTGGTGGACCATTCATGTGGGGTATAGGCAGCTATCAAGTGGGAAAAAGCATTGCTGAGAATATCTTTTTAGGCTAACATTGTAAGAATTGTAAAGTTGTAATTATTATTTGGAGAATTAACCTCCTCTAAGTTTATTTATTATTGATGCTTATACCATGATTGCACTTGAGCATTTTACTTACTTAAAAAATGACGTGTTGTTTGGCATGCTCCTTGTCCCGTAACATGTGTGCGATGACAACTTGTTTTTAATGATGGTGCAGCCAGATTTCTTTTTCCGTTTTATTCAAAGTGATTTACATTTTCTATTTTCATTTAACATGCCTAGAGGGAATGGCCACCCTTCTTGACAGTGGTACCCAGTGGACTTCAGAAAGCACTATCATGTCACATCTACTCTATATACATTACATAAGACAAATGATTTGGAGATTAATTTATTATATTAAAATTTTTTTCAAGTTCCAACTAAATTCTGACCTCCATACAAGGAAATGTGTTATGTATGTTGTGCTCCCTTCAAGACATAAATTTACTGTTGAAATACTGGAGCCGACTCACTCAGAGGGATAATTCACTTAACATGCTATATGGCCTGAGCCATGTGCCATGTCCCATTTGTGTCTTATTTTTAAATATTTCCTTTGTCCATGTGTCCTTAGAGATGAGGTAGATGCTTTTTTGAAGAAATCACCAAAGTTTCTGGGAAAACATGTTCAAGGTTAAACTGAAGAATTATTTCTTTTATAGGGAAGAAATTTTCATTTGAATTGTTCTTTCTTTCTTTTTTCTTTTTTCCCTTACTAGGTTACAGACTTTTATCTGCAATGTTCAGGTTGCTTAGACACTGTTTTCTAGTATTCTGCAGGGCCAGTCAGTTGTACAGAAGTTGGAATATTCAGTTCCCAGAATTAAAGAAGTTTTAAGATGATGAAATGTTATAATAATAAAGCTATATTTCTGAATAATGTGTTGGTATGTTTTGTCTAGTTGAACTGTTTTTGGGGAGCCAAGTATGTGCGTCCATTAACAGTGAATAAGGGCCGGCCCGGTGGCGCACTGCTACAGTGCGCCGCTTGGGAGTGTGGCTGCGCTTCCGCCGAGGATTCGGATCCCACATACAGACCGGCCGCTCACTGGCTGAGCAAGGTGTGGGCGCAACACCGAGGGTTGCGATCCCGTTGCCGGTCACGAAAAAAGACAAAAAGGAAAAAAAAAAAAAACAGTGAACAAAGTGATTCATCATGAATAAGCTCTTCATTGTATATATAATTGCCATGATCTTGTATACCTACAAGTTTTCTTGAAAACTTAGCTCAATCATTTTTATTCATCATAATGACTATTTCTAAAAGTTCTTTTTATATATGTTCACACTGAGACGTCCTCATTAAAAGCCTATTTGGCACTTTTCCCCCATCTTCCTCCACAACTATGAGTAATTTTCCTATACCGTATTTTTAAACTTGTCAACGCTTAGCAAAAACCAAGAACAGATTTCACAGTATACATCCCAGCCTGTATGTGCTCTACATCCTAGTCATTGCAAGGCCCAGAGCGAGACACAGATAGATAACAGAGAGAAGTATATCACGGGTAGGATCACCCAGCCATTGATCTCTTGAGAACCATGGAATTAGGAAAATGTAGGGGACTCCGTTTGTCAAGAGCTGTTAGGGTTATTGAGGAGATGATCTTAGTCTGCTCTTATGCTTATTTAGTGTTAAGGTTAATGGGTTCACCAGCTTACATTGTTCTTTTGAGAATAGCTATAACATTTTTGATTATCTCTGGGCATTAGAAAACATAAATCCCAGTAGCCTGATTCTGCTCAATGTGGATCCTTGAAAAAATGAATTCCAAGATGGCATGTCAATATGATCCCAAACACAAGCCCTGGAGCAATTTCAAATATTTAAATGAAGGAAGCTTTAGACATTAAATTCCTTTCTGTGGAATTAAGGTAATAGAATTTTTTTCTTTTTTTTTTTTTATGTTTTGTATGAGTAAAATGGATCCATCTGAAATTTTCATTTAAAGGAAATGTAGCCCCATAATAAATTTACTATGTATTTGCAGCTATTGTTCCAGGACAGAACAGTTTTTCCAGTAGAGGAACATCTCAGACAGGAAGGCTGGGTTCTCCTGCCCACCCTGCAGTGGGGACACCGATAGATTTTGCATATATGTAGTCAGATACCTAGGGTGGTAAATGAGGACTTTGGTACCCATGTTTTGTGAGAAGACACGTGACTGCTGAATATCTGAAGTGCTGTCAGGTAGGAACATAACTATTTTGTGTGGCTGTAAAAAGCATCACCAAAATCAGTGAGAGAATGTTCTAAAGAAGCAAATATCGAACAGGAACAAAAAGTTTCTAAGTGCATCATGGAATAGGTCACATTGTTGAAAAGTGAGTGCCTTGTCTCTGAGCTACTCCTATTCTGGTGGATGGCACTCTACTTTGGGTAGGGAGCTGTACTGGATTCTTCTAGCCCTAGGAGTCTATCATTATATGTACTGATGCCACATAAAATTTAATGTTAATGTGGCAAGTTGATTTGGGAGATTTTATTTCACTGACCTGGACTTTGTCAAGTTTTCTGTAACATGTATCCACATTAATCCTCATGGAATCTTTTTGAGGCAGGTAGGTATGAGGAGGTACAAGTTTCTTCTCTTTGTGGATGGAGAAACAGCAGTCGGGGAGATGGGGGACATACATCTGGCACTGTTATCTCAGCACAACATGCTACTTGGAAAGGAAGCATCTCACCTGACTGAATGTGGTTGGAGTGTTTGAAGAGAAGGTACATTTTTTGTTAAGACATGGCTCCTGAATGCAGGCCAACCACTTCCTCTGTTGTTCAGTTGCATTAACAGTGACCCTTTCCAGCCCTGGGGGAGAAACTGGCAGTGTTGCACTTAGCAGGAGATGGTGTGTGGTTTGTCAGGCTTCAATATCGTGCCTTCCTCAGGCATTTTCCAGGTAGTTTGCATTATACTTCAATTTTTGCCTTTCTCATGAATATTCTTAAAAAGGGGACTTCATCATACTTACAATAAAGGTGAGGCTTATGGTGGTTTGAAAGAGTTTCCAGGGCCCAGGAGCTCCTTCATGACAGAGCTGGAGCGAGAACCAGAACATTGTCTTTCTGAATCTCAACCAATGCCCTTTCACAACATGTGCCTCCTCACTGACAAAAGTCCAGAAAATGATCCTAAATATATTCATTTGTGGATTACACAAAATTCTCAATGTCCTAAAATTCAGTTTAATATTGATTATCAATTATTGCACCTATTTTATATAAGCCAGTGTGGGAGATATTAATGTTACCACTCTGTAATCGCTAGACCTTGGCTATGCCTTGTAACAGAGCCACCCCCAACTTGCCAGAGAATTCCAAAGTCTCAAAGTCTGTTGGGGTTTAGTGCACGCACTCTTGACCACTTCACAGTGTAGTGTGCTGACTGACAAGAGTGGCTCTGCTTTCCACATTGGTCGGTCCCTCATAGAGAAGCAGAAAGCTGATTTTATATCTCACTCTCTCCTCCTTCCAATACCTGACTCTTTGTTCCAGGAGGCGACTTGGCTTATTCCATTCTCAGGAACGTACCACTTCATTTCTGTCCTTAAGTTTGCCTCTCCCTTGACACCAGCACTAACACTTCGAGGAACCCTAAACACAGAGGGCTAGTGGAGGGAACTGAGGTTCATAAAAGGTAAGGGATACTGTTACCTGTCCCTTGTCACCTCCCTCCCCCTGGGTGACGGAGAAGCAAAGGATTACTCAAAACCCATTTCTTCTGAGCAGTGAGAAACCCCAAAGGGGTTAATTTCCAGGAACGCTCAAGAGAGAGGCATTCCTCCTTGGGGGCTCCACGGATCGGAGACCGACCTGCCAAGCCTTGGAGAGGAGAAGGACGCCCAACATTTGCGTTTACTCATCCCTAGAAGGGACCACTCATCCCAGTAAGGGGATCACAGGCAGTTCTCGATTAGGGGTCCACACCTGTGGCAGGTCAAGTTAGGTCTTTTCAACCCTGAAGGTATTTTTCCCTTTTATTTTTTACTTTTAAAATATGGATAATTCTTTAACAAACGGGGAGACTGAACATACATTACAACTCCAATGTCTCCTTAAAGCAGCAGGCTGTCAAATACCTGAACAGCAGCTTGTAAAACTGTTAGTGGATATTAAACAACCATGTCCTTGGTACCTCAAGGAAGGGAGCCTTAATATAAGAATTTGGGAGCAAATTGGTCACTGGTTAATTATGCAATGGGTCTCGTTAAGGCTTCCCACCTAACAACTTGGAATCTATGTCAAGTCGCTTTGAGACCTATTCAAGACCTTAACAAAAAACAAAGACATGTTTATGTCACTGAAAAAGAATAAAACTTAATCTTTGCCAGTAACTGAAAAAACTTTTAAATTGGACAATCTAAAGTAAAAAAAAAGTTAATATTTCTTTGCAATGTTGGTATTGTTTGAGCATGTTTTTCTTTCTTATCTGCACAATGTTTCTCTTCTCTCTTTAAAGCAGTGGATCTTTTCTTATCAACATGTGCTTCTCTTCTTTGCCAAAGACTCTAAGGTTTTATGGAAAAAAAGCAGCCATGGCACCAACCAGACCTCCTTTTGGGTCCTACTACTTTTCTCCTGAAAACCTCAACAGTCAAATGGCTTTCATTAGCTAAGCTCTTAAGCTCAGTAACCCATTTGAGAAACAAAAACTAGAGTAAAATCTACCTGTTTAACTAGATGGTCTCAAATTTTCTGGTATCCAGCTGGTTATCTTAAACAGACTTCTAAATTTTCTTCAGGCTCATCTATGTATTTCTTCACAAAATCCTATCGTAGAGTTCTATGCCATTTTCTTAAAAAGAAGAAAAGTTTCCCTGCATCTCCTTGAAAAGTCTCACATACTTTGCTTTACAATGTAAATTTGTTACCTTGCTTTCTCTAAAATAGGGTGAGGCTTCACAGATAAGCTTTAACATTCTTTAGAAACACAATTTAAACCTGACTGTCCTCTTACTAGTGAGTTTTCTATTTTATCTATCTCCTTATTATATTTTAAACAAAACCTATAAAATCCTTATTGTTTCTGTTTATGTCTACATATATGTGTATGTAAATATATGTTATGTCTACATGTGTTTGTATTATCTGCATGGTACCAAATTGGCTTATAATTAATGCGCACTCATTAAATAAATAAGTATACTTTTCAAGTTCACGTGACTTTAATTTTCTAAAGTTTTGATAAAATAAATATATCTTCAAAATTTGATTTAGGGCCAGCCCGGTGGCGCACTGCTATAGTGCGCCGCTTGGGAGCATGGCGGCGCTCCCGCCGAGGGTTCGGATCCCACATACAGACCAGCCGCTCACTGGCTGAGCAAGGTGCGGGCGCAACACCGAGGGTTGCAATCCTGTTGCCGGTCCCGGTCCGGTACGGGCGCGACACTGAGGGTTGCGATCCGTTGCCGGTCATGAAAAAAGACAAAAAGGAAAAAAAAAATTTGATTTAAACCTTTTACCTAAATTTATCTCTAGGTCAATATGCCTCTTCCTTATCTCAGCTCTGCCTCCCGGCCATGGTGGGAGAAACAATATCTTTTAGACATTATCTTTGTGAATGCTGCCCTCTGTCTTAAGCTCCACATGGCCCCAAATACCACATGCGTACTTGGAAACCAAAATGGCTAGTGAAAGGGAACCTATGCCCAATATCTCATAGGCCCTAGTTAGCATTAACTGATAAGGGTATAGATTTAATACACTAAGTTTTTGACTGGGAAACCATAAATATTTATTTGGTAAAATAGCTGACGCTCAAACTTGGCTTTATGTAATCTGCTCTGACAAATGGACACTTATTTACTAACCTAAATGTATAAAAATGTTCTTATCAGCACACATCATTGCCTGGGTTTACTAATCAAACAGGATTACAT